TTTGTAGGAAAACCGTAACTGCTTACAAAGATTCTTGGAGAATACGTTTGCGCTAGACATGAGAGGGTTCAATAAGTTTGCCGTGCACAACTTGTAAATACGAGCCTGAGCACCCTAACAAGAAAAGTTTCTTGGTCAAACTATGTGAGGTAAGATGTTTAACGCTGAGAATGGCGAATACTGATCGTAAGATTGCATGCTGAAAGAAAAAGAAAATTGATAAGGAGTAAGATAAACAGCAGACTGTGGCAAAAAACCCTTTTTTGTAAAAATCTTTGTCGTAAAAAGAAGTTTTTCCAAGTGGGTAAAGTTATTTCAAGAAGGCGAAGGCCTCGCAATACCCACCTACACCCAACACCACCGTTCACAAGCTCAAAATCACCTACAGGTGGTGCTAGATTCGCTCGACTTTCTCATATCTCACACAACGCATATCGCACTCTCATCCGCACTGAATTGCTAAAAACGAGAAACCTCCTCTTGAACTTAGATCTTCTAGCTGTATAAGTACCAACGAAACTGTTTCCATTTCATCTCGACACTAATACTATTTATTACAACATCAGCATCTATAACAAAATGTTAAGGATATAATTTTCAATAAAATAAAACACGTAAAATCAAAGGTAGTATCATAGCAAATAACGGATGACTCGCTGGAAGCAAAGTTCTTTCAATCAGATATGCGCGCCTTCTAGTCACTGCGGAGCAGCATGAGCGATCACACCGCAAGCAATGCGAGCTCCAGCGTTGCCAGTTTTCATAGATTCCTCTTTCTCGGGACCTTCTCCTCTGCCTGAAAACTTCCACTTCCTAATATTAAAAACGCACGGTTATTGTGACTTGCCGAGATCATCAACGCCTGCATGAAGAACAAGGGAACGACCGACTACCGAGTTTTCTCCATGGATTTTGATCAAGTGATCAGTATGCTCGAATTTGACAGTGCCGTCATCGCCGGCCACAAGGTTACCAAGATCGCCAACATGACGAACTTTATCCTGAACAAAAATTTTGTTGAATGTAACGACGATCCATGGGTCAACTAGAATGTTCTAAAACGAGCCACTGGAATGTCAATGATATCAAAATAATTTGGTCTCTCAAAAACCGATAACCAAGTGTACCATTTAGGCATACGTCCTACTTGATCCACTTGATCTGTTTGATCCACTTCGCTATTGCTCGAATCGGTGAACTAACCAACAGCAAAAGGAAAGACCACTTGATTCATTGAGCACTTCATCCACTTCGCTATTAGTCAGTTCCAGGTTTGACCTATAGCGAAGAAGAAGTGGATCAAGCAGATAAATGGACCAAGTATGGGCGTCTTATGAACACTGAGTTTGCAAAAAAAGGCAAAGACGATCTCAAAGCAAATCGCTTACATCAGGTCCACCATGAGTCGTGCCAAAGGGGTTGAAATGCGGACCAGCCGAAGTGCATCCGTTCGTAGCGTCTCCGTACTGATGGATGTGGAAACCATGTTTTCCGGGAGTGATGCCTTTGATTTCACCCCTGATAACACATGGATCAGATTCTTTGTCCTGAAAACACTGATAAAGAAACACAAACAAAGGATGGCAAGTGGACTGTAGACAGTATCTTCAACATCGAATTTTTGCATCGGAGCACAAACATCTTTTGTGAGACTAGGAGGACTCAAATACTCCTTGCCCTTTTCTAAACAAGTTTGAGCATATTCTTTCCGTCTCCTAGCAGCAAGAAACTATGAATGTCATTTTCTGTTGATACAAGAACAAACTGTTTAGACATGGATGGTATATGCCAGACTTATTCGGTTCAACGGGTTCGTCCGACTGACCCATTCGCTATCGGTCAAATCACTGAACTGACCAATTGGAAGGGGTGAACCTGATGAAACGTTCGTTTGAACCGGATAAGTATGGCACCTACTTATGCAAGGCGTACGCGTCTCCTAGTTTCAGAATGAAAATAAATTTCCAAAGTGAGGAAGGATAGTGCCTATATCATCGTTGCAATCTAAGAAAGCAAAAATTCACAGAAAAGCAAAGCAGTGAAAATTTCCTACTAATGAATAAAAAAATCTGCAGTCATATTCATCTAACAAGGAAAGGATACTTGATGGCCATAGACATGTTAAAAGTGATGTATACCATAAAATGCATTTCGAAACGTTGATTCTAAATCTGTGCTCGATATCTGCGAAACGTCCTTCTGAAGGAAATTACGAATTTGTAACCTAAAAAATTTGGTGCACTTTTGGACATTTAAAATCATTAAAATTTCAGTTTACAGTTTGATATCAAAGAAAAAATTAGACGGACTATTGTTCTTATAACCAATCGAATCGTAGTCAGCAGTTAAAAAAAAAGAGAATTTTTTTTTTATAATTTTGACCCTCCGCAGCAGTGCAACTCATTCTTGAGAACATAATTATCACTCCAAATAGGTTATTGCTCAGCAGATATGAAAGATAGCTTTCAAACCAGCATTCAAGGCGCATTCTTTGACATAAAATCACTATGAAAGGCCATGATCAACAAGTATTCTTACCTTGTAAGAAAAAAGTGACTTCTCCTAAAACAAGAAAGTACAATGCCCTTTACTGACCTGATTGAACCAGACAGTTCCTTGCACTCCAGGGTCTCCACGCAAAACAGCCACAGCTCGATTTGTTTTGCTCATTGATGCGTCGACCTGCAATGGTTTAGATCAAATACTAGACCCGAACTTCTATTAGACAGTCCGCAAACATTAAGAGAGAATAATGCTAAGGCTCAGGTAAACGACGCTACTCACTAAAGGCTACAGAATGGGTGATAGTTAGGCTGTTTACATCGAGAGAGCGAGGATCGATAGGACCGCGCGCAGAATTTCTGCAACAAAGTGCAAAGTGCAACTCTTTGCAGGCTAAAAATGGAAGCGAGGAGAGGGAAGGGGCAACAAATATTTTGAAGTTATAACATTTTGAGAATGGTCCAAACTCTAAAAACACCAAAAACTTTCAACTCAATGAACCAGCAAGCGCACCTGGAATAGATTCTTCAAAGCTGCATACACGAACATGTTGCGTGGCTGAAAGAAATACTCAGTAGTAGCAGAAATTCGTTTAGAGGTTTTGGGCTAGATCCGTTTAGTACAGATGAACCACACAGAGAATAAAAGTCCACCGCAGAGCAAACAAAACGCTTGTGCAATTGCGCACTGCAACTTGCGCGGGAAAAAATCTCCTGGGGTACTGTATTAGCCCCGGTAGTCCTTACTGGAACAACGTTGAATCACACCGCACAAAAGTTTGAAAAAAGCCCATTCATGCTTCATATAAAAATTCGCCGCGTAGTCTATTATAATTTCGAAGTT